TATTACTTTTTTAAGACAGAGTCTCGCTAGGTTGCCCAAACTGGCATCAAACTTGCCATTCTCAGTGCAAGGACCCGACTTCGATCCCTGGTACCCAAAAAACAAAAAACAAAAACAAGAAAACACTTGCCGACCTCCTGCTTCAGCCTTTTGAATAACTTGGGTATATCTTGATACTTCTTGAATGCTTGTTTAATATTTAAGAAAGTAATCATACTTTTTTAGAAGATAATGGGAATTTTTACCCATTATACCCTACTGTGCCCTTGAATAGAGCTGAGGAAAAACATTACCAAAATTGTATAGGCAGTATCATATTACTATATAAATATCCAGCTAAATTTATGTGATCTTATCAATTTAAGAAAGAAATGTTTTTAGACAGAGCCACAAATAAGTATTGACTTTTTTTTTTCCTGGTACCAGGGATTGAACTCAGAACCTTGAGCTTGCCAGGCAGGTGCAGAACCACTGAGCTAAATCACCGGCCCCTTGATTTTTTTTTTTTTGGTACCGGGGGTCGAACTCGGGTCCTTCCACTTGCAAGGCAAGTGACGGAACCACTGAGCTAAATCCCCGGCCCCCCTTGACTTTTGATTCTTAGTAATTTTTTATTTTCTGTCTCTCTGTCTCTCTGTCTGTCTGTGTCTCTCTGTCTGTCTGTCTCTCACTCAGTAATCATGCCAAAGTACATGTGTATTTAATAGGATTTTCAGGATCACTTTACCCTTATTGCCCCTGGGAAAACTTGATAACATTTAATGTGGAAAAGTTTTTGTTTTTGTTTTGTTTTGTTTTGTTTTGTTGGTACCGGGGATGGAACTCGGGTCCTTGTGCTTGCGCAGCAGGTGGCGAAACCACTGAGCTAAATCCCCGGCCTGTAGTGTGGAAAAGTTTTTATCAGCTGTTTATCCCAGTAGTTTACCAGTTTCTTAGGTAGATAAACAATTTAATGACACCAGATTTGTTTGTCACCTTGAAATTTTTGCCCCTGAAAGAACTGAAAGGATGCTTTGAATAACTGTAATTGGACTTGAGCCTCTTTAACCGTATTGAAAAGGAACGAGAGAATAGTGCAGCCATCTGCCACCCCAGTGTGAAAGGACTCGGTGTTCCACATGGGCTTTGTTATGGCCAAGGCAGGAAAGCCATTCACTGGTTTTTAGTATGCATTTCAGCATTTCCAGATTGCCTTCTTGGAAGTTCAACATTTTAAAAACATTATCATCTTAGAATTATAAGTGTTTTGCTTCTGTTGCTTCATGCCATCTTACACTCACAAGTCTAAGGAAAACTCAGACCTAGAATGCCTGCCAGGCTTGGTGAGGTCACCTTGATTTCCTTAAAATTGTGTATCTCAGCAGTGTTCGACTTGAATGACGGAAATGGTAGAAAATCTTTACAGTCTTCAAATCTGGATCTGGAGCTGCCAGAGCCTTCTGTTACCTCCTTTGACATCTGTTATTTTATGGCTCCTGCTGCAAGCTCCATTTCCTTAGAGGTACTTGAAGCTGCAACTTATGCGGATAGTTCCAAACATAGATTCACCCTATCCCATCTTGCTGATATCCTCAAAAAGAAATTTGTTTTTTAATGTATCTTCCTTCATGTATTTGGTGCATTTAAAAATTGTTTTTAAAAAATAAAAAAAATTTTTTTTTGAAATTGTCTGATTGGCATGATTTTCCTATAGATTTGTTAAATTCATTTCTTGTTTTCATTTTATAGTGTTTTCTGACAAGTTTTCTAACAAGTTCTAACCTTTTATTTCCATCTGTCTTGTCTATATCTACTAATTAGTGGGGCCGGGGATTTAGCTCAGTGATTCCGCAGCCTGCCTCACAAGCGCAAGGTCCCAAGTTCGATCCCTGGTACCAAAAACCCCCCAAACAAACCATAATCTACTAATTAGTGATCTACTAATCTACATCCAGTTACTATAGTTCAGTATAGAAAAGAAATTTGCAAGCTGGGGCTGGTAATGCACACTTGTAATCCCAGCCCTCTGAAAGGCTGAGGCAGGCGATTGCAAGTTCAAGCCCAGCCTGGGGAACTTTAAGAAGTCATATCTTTTTTTTTTTTTTAATTCTTTTATTGGTACATTTTAGTTTTAAAATACACTTACATTTATCATTGGATGTTTGTACCAGAACATGATGTTTCTTGGTTTTTTATTTTTTTCTCCCATTACCTATGTGCCCTTCACCCCCTCCACCCTTCCCTATTTACATAGACTTCATTTCCATTTTTTTCTTTTCTCATAATTTTTCCTTTCTTTTCTTTCCTTTCCTCTTCCCCTTCCACCACTCCTACACCTTTGGACCTTTTAATATTTCAAATTATCGATTATTCATTTTAATCATTTTAATCCTTATTTACACTTTCAGTTTCTCACTAGAGAAACTATTCAGTATTTACCCATGTGTGTCCTATTTATTTCGCTTAAGAGGATGGCCTCAATATGCATCCATTTAGCTATAAATGACTCTAATTTCTCATTCTTTATGGCTGAGTAGTACTCCATTTTATAAAAAAAACCACATCTTCTTTATCCAGTTTCCAGTGGATGGGCATTTGGGCTGTTTCCAAGCTTTAGCTATTACAAACTGTGCTGCTATAAACATGGGTGCACATATATCACTGTGGTATGATTCTTTTAATTCTTTGGGGAAGATACCCAGCAGGGGAATAGCTGGGTCAAATGAGACTTCCAACCCTAGTTCTTTGAGGTATCTCCTTACGGATTTCCACAGTGGTTGCACCAGCCTGCACTCCCACCAACAATGGAGAAGGGTTCCTTTCTCCCCACACCCCCGCCAGCATTTGTTATTGTATGAAACCATATCTTAAAATAAAAAAGGGGTAGAGATATAATTCAGTGCAAAGGACCCAGATTCAATCTCCAGTACCACAAAAAACAGTTCAGGACCTTTTAACTGTAGTTGTTTTTTTCTTTTAACCATAAATTAATCTTTTTGAACTCATAAGAATTTTATGCTATTGTAGATGAAATTTTAAATAGAAAAAAATGCAAATCTTATTTATGACTTCTATGCTTTCTTTAAAGGGTCTGTGTCATTGGCCAATGGTAGACAAGGACGTCCTTGTCCGTGTTTGTGCACGCTGACTTTCAGGGCTCTTTTCCCTCCCTTAGGACACTTACAGTTTTATTAAATACCACTCCACTCTTATCCTTTTCATGTGGAGATGCTAATTTGAGCCAACAGTGCACTTACTCTTAACAGATATTAGCCCAGTACTGTATTCTATTTGCCTTGGAAATAACAACTCAAATATTAACCAGATTTTTCATTCATGTTACTAGAGATTGCTGTTTATTTCTTGATTCCAAATTACCAAGAAAACTAAGAATCTTTAACTCATCAAAATAAGTGTTTCAGCCCACAGCTTGGCAGTGATAAAGATAGTGAATAATGGAATTCTTTTTCCCTAGAGTTGATCTTCTCTCAGACAGAACTTTAAACGGTCAGAGTAAGGTGTCATCATTACTTTCCAGCCTCCATTCTTAGCCACCTCTCCCTGATCCCTAGCTAAGCTCCTATCGTGGGTGCCCTCCCGATTCAGGATTGCTGCCATGGAATAGCCCCCTTTCTCCCTCTCTACCCTCCTATTCTACAGTTAAACTTTTCTTATATCTTATTCCCTTTTTAGAGTCCCTCAGACTCATTTACAGTTTCTAAACCACTTGTTTAAGCATTCAGACTCTATCCTCGTAACAGTCTAGTAGGAGAAGATTGACCCTTGAAGCTGTTTTCCAGTAGCAAATGCATTTTAACACTGCCCTGCCACAGATAGTCCTTTTATCCTTTTTGTTCATAAAGGTAGGAATTTAGGGCCTAGAAGAAACTTACTCATCTGGACTTGCCAAGTGAGCAAGGGGACAAAGGTCAGGGCAGGCCTTCATCCCCAGGCTCTTTGATTCATTGATCTATTGTTGTTCCAAGTAAGAGGAGTAGGGACTGAATCTGTTAGTGACCATTGATTGCCTCCTATGGAATCTGAGGAATTCCTTCTCTAAGTGTTTTGTTGTTCTTCATACTTTGAGATGTTTAAACTTCTGATTCAAGTACTTTAAATATATTTTTTATTCAGATACTTTAAGAATGCATTTTATTTTCCATAGCCTAGTAAGGAAATTTCAGTTATTCGTGGGGCTGGTATCAAATGAGGAAATCAGATCCACAGAAGTCATGATCAAATTAGAGCTTTTTGCTTGGTGTGGTGGTGCACGCCTGTACTCTTAGCACTTGAGAGGCTGAGACAGGAGGATCACTGTGAGTTCAAAGCTAGCCTGAACTGCATAGCGAGGCTCTGTCTCCAAAACAAAACAAATTACAGCTTTTTATTTTCAATCTGACTTCTGGTCTAGATTGAGGCAGGTGGCAACCTCACACCTTAATTTAGTAAAAGAGGCTCTGGAAGAGGTGATTTGAAGAAAAATAGACTCAGGTGAGGGAGAATTGTCACGGCAGAGTAATAATTTATCATGAGAAGAACATGAGGTTTTAATGGAGGTGATGTGTGAAGAGGTGTGTGTCACTTTCAAAGCCAGTAGAGGTTGGTGCAGATTCATTACCAGAAGTACTGTGAGGTTTTGTTCAGGAGCATCACCCTGTCTTAAAACTGGTTCCAGGGCCAGGGATTTAGCTCAGTGATGCTGCACAAACTGGTTCCATTCTGCTATTTTTGCTGGGCCTTTACAGTATTACCAGCTTCTCCCCCAGCAAGTTTCTTGTAAAACAAATTCTGAGAAATGGTAGATGTGTTGTAGCTCATGGGAATATATTCTTGAGCAGTCTTTGGGGATCAATCCTGTCCAAATGTAGAGTGATTTTAGTATTCCAGGCGAACATTTTTCAGCCCTGAAATGATATCTCCTAAGTGCCCTTCGCTTCCCCTCTATGAAATGTTGCATGCTGATAAGCAGTTCATGCCTCCCCCTCATGTCATCACAGAAACTGTGTCTTGATTATTTCTAGGAACTAAGAGAAATTCATAATAAGCAGCAACTCCAGAAGCAAAAGTCCATAGAAGCTGAACGATTGAAGCAGAAAGAACAGGAGCGAAAAATCATAGAATTAGAAAAGCAAAAAGAGGAAGCCCAAAGGTGAGTCTCTTCAGTGGGTTGTGGACCAGTCTGGCAGAAGGGCCTGGCACAGATGGAAGCTGTCTTCCTCAGGATAACCAGAGTGTTTGCTCTTTGTCTGGCTTCTGCAAGTGTTTAGTGTAGCAGAAGAAGCCTTCAGTGCTTAATGTGTGTGTGGGGGCAAGCACAAACACATGTATGTATAAATCTTTGCATATATAAGTACCCTCTGAAGTTTTTGGTTAGTTCTCAGAGCTCTCCTATGTAGATAAATGGAATTATGCAAGGAAATTGGGACACTTGGTAGGCTTATTTGCATACTAATGACCAAAATAGGTTTCCAGTTCACAGCCTTTTAATAACAGTGGCGGTCAAAGTGCCTGGTTTGAAATCAAAGCCTCTGAGCTCTCCCTGCCACACAGGACTTCTCCAGTGGACCAAGATTGTTCCTTTCTGTCTCTTTCCTCTTTTTTTTTTTTGCAACTGTAAATTAAACTTGAATACAAAAGGAGAAGATTTGCTACTGATGCTGGAGATACAAACACACTTGTGTCTGGTTTTGTTTGGATATTTATGTTATGTTATTTGTCCTGGCAGCGTTCTATAGTAAATTGCAGAAATTTTGTTCCCTTTTGGAATGTCTCGTTTTGTTACTGGATATTTGCTTTTTTTTTTTTTTGATATTTGCTTTTTAAACTTCAGTTAATTTTAGACTTTAAGAAACAAAGATGACCAAATGCCTTAGTGATATGCTATAAATGATTAAAAATTGGTTATTGAAATCAGACTGAAGAAATGAAGATATGGATACTTGAGGCAAGTCATTGACTTTAGGGGCTGAGTTCAGTTAAATTTTTCAAAAACTATGCATGCTCTCATGGGTGTATATAATATTCTGAGTCTGGTTTGTGTTTGTTTCTTTATAGTTTTGTGTTTTAGGGATAGTGGGGAGGTGATTGGGTCTCAGCAATTTAGAGGGGTGTTTTTATTTTTCTTGGGGGTAGGACTGAGGATTAAAGTCCTGCTTGGATGTTTTGATAATAAGTCTAACTCTAAAGTTTATAAAATGCCTTCCTCAGTAACACTAATTAGATTATCATATAGAATGGTGATCCAGGGGTAGAAAATTTAAAGCACTCTTTATTTTTTTAAAGTTAAAAAAAATTTAGTGCTAAATCTTCACATTCACAGAACAGAAATAACAATTTTTTTAGCAATGGAGAATAAAAGTGTGCTATGTTTATATTACGTTCCCATGAAAGTTTGCTAATTCCAAAAGATGACTTTTGTGCATTGGTCGTGTCTCAGGACAGCGGTCCAAGGTGGAGACTGGAACTAGGCTACTTGGGATTGAACCTCAAGCATGACTAGCTGTGTGACATGCGCAAGTCATTGAAGATCTCTGCTTCAGCTTCCTCATTTGTACAGTGGGGATAATAACAGGTCCTGCCTACCTGCTGTCAGAGTTAAAGGAGTTAATGTATGGAGAGCTAGTTAGCCTCATTATATCATGTTATTGTACATTAGTTTCACTTATAATGTTTCTTTAAAAAATTTTATTAAATCCTATGTAATGAAAGAAAAATATTCCCCATCTTTTCTTGTGAAATTTGGGTTGAGGCCATTACAATTTTCAAGACTTAGATTTAGTTGCAGTTATTTATTATTTCACCTATTTTGGAAAAAAACAAAGTAGTCAAAATCAGTAAAATAGTCTTTTGCTTTCAGCTTCAGGTTGGGGACCAGTATCTGTGCATATAAATATGGTATACCCTTCACTAGGGAGGGACTTTAATGATCTGATTGAATATGGACTTATTTGAGCAATATTTTATGTGAAGCTTTTTGGGTACACTTTATCTCCATAAAAGTTATGTTCCACTCTGTTCTGTGGCTTTTTAAAACTTTGTTAATTGTAGTTTAATAGCTGTTTCAACATTGAGAAATGTGTTAGTGAGCTTTTTATTGCTGTGACCAAATACCTGTGAAAAACAAAGGAGAAAAAGTTTATTTTGGCCCACAGTTTCAGAGGTTTCAGCGCAGGCTCAGCTAGCTCCAAGGCAAAAACATCATGGCAGAAGGGCGTGGCATAGATGAAAGCTGTCTTCCTCAAGACAACGAGAAGCAGAGGGCAAAGAGGCACAGCAAAAAGATACACCATGTAGTCAGTCACACCCCCAATGACCTACTTACTCCAGTGGGCCCCCACCTCCCAAGAGCCCATTCATCTCTGACCTCATGATTGGATCAATCCACTGAGGAGTGTGAAGCCATTATGATCCAATTGCCTTCTGAAAGCCCCACCTCTGAACACGTGAGACTTTTGGCTAACATTTTAGATCTAAACTGTAATAAGAAACATTTTTTTTTCGTACAGGGAATCAAACTCAGGACCTTGCACTTGCAAGGCAGGGGTGGCACCACTGAGCTAAATCCCCAGCCCAGAAACATTTTCTTATTCTTGTAACTACTTCACAAAATACATTGCACATTTCCTTCTGTGTTTTTCTAAATCATGTGATTTTTGTCTCGGAATTGGAGCCCTAAATGCCATTGTTTCACTGATGCAGTTGCTTTCTCTGAAGAACAATATCGATGTTTAGCAGCCCATTGACCAGATGGAGCTTCTTGGTGAAGAGACAGCAGTAGTGTTAAATTGACATTGCTTCCTTGCTGTAATCAAGCATCTTTGTTGGCAGACGAGCTCAGGAAAGGGACAAACAGTGGTTGGAGCATGTGCAGCAGGAGGATGAGCATCAGCGGCCAAGAAAACTTCATGAGGAGGACAAGCTAAAAAGGGAAGAGAGTGTCAAAAAGAAGGATGGTGAGGACAAAGGCAAACCAGAACCTCAAGAGAAGCTGAGTTGGCTTTTCCATCCACACCAAGAATCTGTTAAACCAGCTGTGCAGGCTCCTTGGTCCACCACAGGTATTAGAAGTTAAAAATGACCCAGGGGCTGGGAATGTGGCTCAGTGGTAGATCAGTTGTTTAGCATATGGGAGGCCCTGGATGATTCCATCCCCAGGACCACAAAAACAAAAAACAATTCTTGAAAATAAGTCATTTCTCTCCCCAAAGCTGCTTGAGAACATCTGTATCTAATCAGGCCCTATCTTGGGTACATTAATACATGTGAGAGTGCCATTCTGTTCAGACAGTGCAGCTCATCATTCCCCAGGATCATTAGAGGTCTGTTGAAGTGGTTCCCACTCCACTGGCATTTGCAAGTCCTCCACAGACTTAACCAAAGTGGTATGAAGTTCGGTTATAAAACCCCGTTCAGACAGCTGTACTGCAAGTGGTGGTCTTACCCTGTCTTGTAGAAAGAATTTATTTTCCCCAGTTCTGAGCTGTTTTTGTTCCAGAGAGGTATTATAAGCACCTTTCCTTGTTGCCTGCAACAAGGTGATATTCATTATCTTTTATTTGACCTTTTGAAAAATGTGAAAAAGCATAATTTGCTTTTTTTCTTTTTGGAAACAGATCAGACTGGCCTTAAACTCACAATCCTCCTGCCTCAGCCTCCTAAGTGCTGGGATTACTGGCATGTGTCACCACAGCTGGCCATAATTTGCCTCTTTAAGAAAAGATAAATGAAAGACTGATCTAATTCTGATGGCTGGAAAATTATCCCTTGGATAATATCAGATACAAGCTAAAATGTATTTTCAAAATCCTTGTGTGGTTGTATAACATTATACAGCTTTGCAGATAATACTCAGTTAAAAAAAGTGATTGATTTTTCTTTGTTTGGTAAGTTATATGTATACATGCATTTATTTAATCATTTGGTCATCAGTGTGTCTTTTTATCATTATGGTATACAAAAAGGAACACACTTCGAAGCCATCACACACTTGTTTCCTGTCTGCACAGTGGGTTCGGATGGGTACAGAGTGCAGGTAGAGTCGGATCAGGGCAAACCCTGCTCATGATGCATGTGGCCTAGGGAAAGGACTGAGAAACCATGTCCTAGGAAGAGCAAATCCAGTTATTTATTTATTTATTTTTGATAGTTTTTTAGGGTCTGAAAAGAATTTCACCATTATTTAACCATAAACATTTAGTTGAAGTTCCTTGTGCTTCCCCTTAGTATAAAGTGAAGATTTATTTTTCTCCTTCATTCAGTGGGAAATTTTACATATCATATAGCTCAAGACCATGTAGAGATAATAATTCTCATTGCTTTTCAGATAAAATAGATTTGTGTCAAAATACAACTCCTGGGTGAAAAAGTTCAGAGGACTGTGATTAGTTATTCTTAACAAGAATACAATCTTCTGCTTATATGCATTTTTAAAATTTCTTATTTAAAATTGAAACTATTTTCACATAGAGTCCATCCTCGGGCTCATTTTTCTCCATAGGAATAATAGAAGACTTCACTGGGGGTTATTAGTATAGCTGTTCTTGGTGAAATCAGCACTTTTATATGGTCACGTTAAGTGCCTAAAACTTCAGCGTTTCCACATCTGTTGTTGTGGAAAGCTGTGTTTCTCTGCCCCTCCCCAGTGAGAGTTCTCCCTGGCTGATTCAAAGTTGGGGTCATACCCTAACAACACCCTGGGTGGGGAGGAGGTGCGGGTTGATGCTTTACAGATGTGGGCCCTGGAGCCCAGGCCAAGAGGCGGAGCAAAAGAAGAGGCCTCTGGGCCGCCTTGCTGCACCCAGCAGTGGAAGGACTTGTTTGGAGAGTCCTCTGATGAACTCTGGTGGAGTTGAGTTGCTGATTTTAGATCCCACTCTTTGTTGACCCTCGGCATGTTTCAGAAATTCCTTGAATGGATGGAAATAGTTCAGATGTTGATCTAAGGCAGGCAATGGAGAAGATGTCAGGTGTTTGGCTTGCTGTTTAGCTTATTTGTTTGGTGTCTCCTGTAATGTTTTGTTTTCTCCTCCCCCACCCTTTTTTGTAAATAGAAAAAGGCCCTCTTACAATTTCTGCACAGGAGAATGTAAAAGTGGTGTATTACCGAGCTCTGTACCCCTTTGAATCCAGAAGCCACGATGAAATCACCATCCAGCCTGGAGATATAGTCATGGTAAGAAAGACTCCAAGTGAGAATTTATATTGATAATTAATTAACAGCTGTCCTTTCTGCTAAAGAGTTGTGAATTTGTCGATGAGTGTGAAATCCGTAATCCAACATTTAGGTTTTTGATGTATAATATCAATTTTCCTTTTTTATTGGAACAAAAAGTAGTATTTAAGAAATACATACTAACATCACTTAAAATACAGTTGTTAAAGACTTTGTGTCTTTATCATAGCCTTAGCTTGTGTGAGTGTGTGTGTGTGTGTGTGTGTGTGTGTGTGGTACTGGGGATTTAATCCAGGGCCTCACAAATGCAAAGCAAGTGTGGTACTGCTGAGTTAACATCTCTAGTCTTTTATAGTTTTTTATTTGGTGACCCATCCTTGCTAAGTTTGTCCAGGCTGGCCTGAAACTTGATATCCTCCTGTGTCAGCCTCCCAAGGAGTTGGGATTACAGGTGTGTGCCACTGTGCATGGCTGCCCTAGCATATTTTCAAATTTATAAATGTCTAGTAGTTTGAATTTAGATGACTGTGTACTATGAGTAATCTTTAAGAAATAGTTTTAAAGTACTCTTATCACTCATAATTGCCAATGATAACTTTTTAATCTGTAGGTCAAAGCATCTTTTTTTTCCCTTTCATTGTATGAACTTCAAATTAGATAATAAGTAATGAATTAAATTCAGTGAATCTACTACTCTGCAAATGAACAGATAAAGACATTTAGAATTTTGCCTTGTTTATGTTCTTTAAAATAATAAAGTACAGTCTTATGGTTTGACTAAAATTATAGAACCAATTTGAGAAAGAAAAACAGTGTGGTAAATAATTGCTAAGTTATTTTCTAAAAGAAAACAGTTTCTTGATTTAGTAATTCACTTAAGAATAAGTCTTAGAGGTGCTCAAACTACATTACTCTTAGAATTTGTCTTTCTTTTTGTGTAAAAATGGGAAAAATTAAGAATTTTTAAAGAACTATGAAAGTTAAAAACACGTTTTTCATGCTAGGCTATGAAAATGTTACCGGGTAATCTGTTTTAATAAGAAATTATTGCTCTTTTGGGGGAATATATTTGGGATTGGACCTGTAATTCTATTCCTATTACAGTGGTACTGAATCCTTTTCCTGGAATCGGCCAGTTGACCCTAGCTTGATTAGATGAGTATAGTTTAGATATGCTATAAGAATAAAACATTTCATTAAACATATATTTTGCCTTGCTTTCAAACCTTTGCTTTCCTGGTGGAGGTTAAAGGGGAATGGGTAAGTCTGCCTCACTGTCAGGAAGTCTGCTTTTCGTTCACTGTTCTGTTCTTTTCACTCACTTGAATTCTGTGCAAGTATGCCTCTCTTTGGGTGTTGTCGTGACAGTACGAATATGTTTGAAGTTTGTGTAGTAGGCTGTGCCTAAAAGGAAAAGAGTAAATCTTTGGAGTTTGTGTGCTGGTTTCTAGGTCCCATTTGACGACAAATTTAAAGGCTCTGTATTTGGCAAGTCTCCATTTTGTCCAGGAAGGTTCAATTTAAAAGATAACATTCTTAATCTGTTTTTTGAGAAGGAGAATATTGGAATAATTTCCTGGCTAAGAAAGCTTTTCTGAGCTATGACAACCAGAAGTCATTAAAGGCAAAAGTAGACAAATTGTATACTGTACAAACATTAAAATTTCCGCTTCTCTCTATATATGAGACCAAGGGTTACTGTTCATATTAAAGACTCCAAACATCTGTTATGAAAGACACCACAAGGTTTAGATAGGTCAGCAGAGGGAAAGAGGTGACATTCATGGACAAAAAAGCGGGTGATTAAAAAACACATGAAACTATGCCTAACTTCATAGGTGATTGAGAAAATGAAAGTTAAAAAATAAGATAGCACTGTTTCTCTAACAAATGAGCAAATTTAAAAGTTTGATAAAGTCTGGCTTTGTCAAGAGCGTAGGAAAGTGGATATAATATATATTATCAGCGTGGGTTTATAAATTGCTTAAGCAGTGTGGCAATACCTGTTCAGATACAAAATTCTCATTCCTCTTGATGCAGAGGTTAGTTTTTCTCCTTCCTCTAGGCCCTTTTGAGGCACATGGACATATGAGGCATATGTATACATGGATGTTCACTGTAGCATCATTAGTGAAGGCATAAGAACAACTTGATGTTCATTAGTAGAGGGATAGCTGAAATAAATTATGATGCAGCTATGCAGTATATAGAGGATATTTTAAAAAGTGTATAGACATACAAATAGTTTCTTCATTTAAAAATAGAAGCAGTATGTACAGTATAATTGCATTCTGGTTAAAAATAAAACATTATATGTAGGAGTGTGTGCATAATTAACAGTCTTGAAATATATTCATCAAACTGTTAACAGAATTTACCATTGGAAAGTAAAGAAGGAGATTTGATGTTTAATCTTATATATTTCTGTATTATTTCCATTGTTATAAATGCACCATATTTATAATTTTAATCATGCACTAAAGATAAATCCAACTTCAAGGACAAGCAAAACAGAGAATATCTACCCAACACTAGAATGGTACTTATTTTGTCTCCAACATCCCAAATATGTAGTGAAATGTGGAATATACTACTGAGCATAATTTAGAATAAATTAGTGGCTTGCTGAAGGGACAGCAGTGACTTCATTTTGTGCTACACAGTGCAGTGTGATATTCCAAATTTTATTCACCTGTATTGTCTTTGTGAGGATACCAACCAGTGCAGAAAAGACAGAAGCTGACATCTGATAGCAGGGTTGGCATTTTCTTTTTTTTTTTCTCCTCTCATGGAGTTTGTAGTTAAGAAACATGAGCATGAAAAGTATGTAGTAGAAAATTACTGTCAATCTTTTCTGGGTTGAATAATGCAGGGGTTACTTTTACTTTTGTGGGCATAGTAATCATTAGATTCTCAGATTTCTCAATCTTCTTTGAAAAACAAACTATACATATTAGATTTCAGAAGCCAAATATGTTTCCTTTTTTAATGTAAGCAGTCTTAGGAGGTACTTTAAAATTATTTTATTTTAGAAAACCTTGATGATCGGCCCAGTTTTCTCCACAAGTATATTTTTTTCATGGTTAACAAAACTTTAATGTGATATCTTGTATACAGTCCTGTTCTAAATGTTATTGGTAATATAAAATCAGGAAAAACACATGAGAAAAAAACCATAATGGAATTCTCGATAAATACTCATTAACTCTCTGAGCATTTTAAAAGAGGAGTGGAATCTTTAAGCTGCTGTGCTCAGGGAAGACTTCTTCATGGAGGATTCTTAGATGACTTTGACCTCAATGACTGAGACTTAAATGCCTTGAAAATAAATGACCTCCCTTCTGATCTGGAGGTCCCAATATCTGAAGGGTGCATAAATCACATTTGACCTCTAACATATACATATTGGAAATAAACAAGAAATGAGAAGACCTGCTGACTGCTATTTTGGTGAGCTTTATCTTAAGAACATGGACCGGTCATCTGAATGCAAGAACTGAGTGCGTCAGAATTTCTTAGGGAACTGCAAGAACATAACTCCCCAGGGCTCAGTCTCAGAGATTCTGGGAACTTATAATCCATATACAATATCCCAAATTCTCTCCAGATTTTGTTAGGGAGTCAGTTTCAGGAACCACTGATTTAACCTCATCTCATTTTCCTGCCAGGACTACTTGTATATCATTTTTGGAAAATATCCCTTAAGAATATCCAAAGAAGAAAGGACTTTTAGTCATTATCAGCCATCAATCAGGAGGTTCACCTAGAAAGTATTTATCTTCTTAGAATAACTCGTATAGCAATTTGAACTTTTCTTTTTTCTCTAGATGAAGATTACTTCTTTAACCCTGCCTTTTCCATCTATCTTCCTTAGATTTCCATAAATTTAGCATCTCAACTCAACTTGTTTATTAATAGTTGGCCAATTGCTGCTATTTTAAGGGAGCAGTATACACACACATACAGTTACAGGTGTGGGTTGGATCTGGCCACCTGCCTGTGTTGCAGTAGAGTTTTATTGGAACATAGCCAGGCTCATACATTCATACGTTTATAGCTGCTTTTGTGCTACAACAGCAGGCTTGAGTAGTTGGACCAGAGGAAAATTTTTCTGGCCTCTGGGTTAGAGCTTCAGAAGAGTTTGGATAGTCTCTTCTAGGAGTTTGGGGGGAACTTTATATTTAAAAACTGACAAATCCATGAAATGTGCTGTTTATCTGTATTCCTCAACGCAGCCCCAGCAGCCACTACCAACTGGTCTGATTCCGTACACATCCCTATTTGTCATGGTCTGTGAAGGAAATGGGGATTTGTTTCTCTCCTGTCTCAAGTAATTTTCTGTTACTATAACAGATACCTGAGATAATTGACTTATAAAAAGAAAAGGGTTTTTTTGGTTCGCAGTTCCAGAGGTTTCAATCCCATGATTGGTTGGCTGTGTTGTTTTGGATAAGGAAACACATTGTGGCAGGGACACATCCACGGCAGAGCAGAACCACTCACCTTATGGGCAGAACTGAGAGGGGGGAAGAGACCAGAGTCCCACAGTCCCTTCCAGGACAAGCCCCCAGTGACAGACCTTACCAAGGCTCCACCTCCTCCCAGCAGCCCTACCCTGGTGAGCAAGCCTTTACCACATGGACCTTTAGGGACATTCAAGACCCAAGCTATAATCCTGGGCATGGTTGTACACACCTGTAATCCCAGCACTTGAGAGGCCGAGGTAGGAGGATCATGAGTTTGAGGCTAGCCTAGCCTATATAGCAAGACCACATCCAAAATCAAAAAGTACTACCTACTGCAAATGGTAGCCATTGAGTATATAATCATTAGAAAGGAGGCATAATATTATCAAGCTTTAGCCAAATGGACTTGTGTCTGCAATTTCCTGCTATGTACTGATAATTGTTGCTTCAGTACCCTACGTACACATGTACAGTTACTAACATTTTGTATACTAGTTCTTCAACATAGTCCTAGCAATGATTATGTTTCACTTTGATGATACTCTCCTAGAATTAACCCTAAGAACTTTTTTGGCTGTTGCAGTAGGTCAGATTAAATGAAGTCATATTAAGACCAAAATTGTTAATAAAATCCCTCACAGCCACCAGTGGATGAGTGTCCTTTATATAAAAGTCCACTTTATAGCCTGCCATGTTACAAAGAAGTTTGTGTGCTTAACTGATTGGTCTATCATAATCAAGTAGTTGACTGAATTTAGATGTTAAGAGGGATTTTGAAAATCTCTGAACCTTGAAGTGTAATGATTAAGTAGAGCCCTATAAGAATAAATTTAACTAATTGAGACTATTGTTTGTGCTGTGGTTGAGGCCAGTGAATTGCCTTGGTTAAAAGTGAAATCCATACTGATTTTATTATTACCATTAGTGAGGGGAGAAGCTCTTGTTTGCAGAGCTAAGAGGCTGAAATGGCCCCTTCCCCGTAGGTACAGCACGCTTCCTGCCCTATTTGGGCACAGACTGGGCAGGATTCTTCAACCAAGATGGGACATTTTCTCTGGGCCTCAAATCCAATCCCAGATCTCCACCCCAAGCCCTGTTGATCAGACGAGACTCTGTGTCTGAGAGGAATAACAACAGGTCATAAGATAACTAAGTAAAGCAGCCAGTACTCGGAAGAGGTCCAAATTAGACAGCCCAGGGCTAGGGATTTAGCTCAGTGGTTCCAGCGCCTGCCTTGCAAGCGTAAGGTCCCAAGTTTGATCCCCGGTACCAAAAAAAACCCCAAACAAATTAGCCTTGTGGAAGTTCTGAGCCCTTCTGATTACCGTGGCAGGAAGGTAAACCCAGATTTGCCATCATCCCAGATAGGCTTCCAGGGCACAGAACTTGTGCAGAAAACCAAACATTGTTTAGAGTGAATTGGGTGTACACCAACCAGACGTTTAGAACAGGACAGATGCACAGATAGGAGCGCCACAGTACAAAGTCAGAGCTGGACAGTAGGAGAGATCGCTTTAGAAAATCTATCCTGAAGCATTTCTCGTATATCAGGCAGTGTTGTAGGTCTTTATCAGTCCTCATAGCCACCATAATAAGGCAGATTTTTGTCATTCCTGGTTTATAGGTGAATAAACTGAGACACCCAGAGATTGAACTTGCCCAATGTCATCTAGTTAGTAAACTGTAGAGCCAATTGTGTACATTGAGGCATTCTCATTGCAGAGCCCTGTTTTTGATCATCACACTTTGTGGTCTGGTCTTGAGGCTGGTTGATGCAAACGCCTCCTTGCCCCTGCCTGGCCTCACAACTGGTCCAGAATGGAGGGGTAGAGCTTGGCTCTTACACCTTCTGAGAAGTGGGGGAGGCTCTTGCAGCTTAGAAGCAGCTGTTTCCAGTGCCCAGCAGCTGCAGTTTCAGTCTGTCACAAAACCAGCAGTAAATACAACCAGGAAAGATAGGCAGCTAGCCATTGAATTTTACATAAAAGACACGTGCAGGATGGAAAAATGTTGTCTTAAATCCTCATCTAGAGAAACAGTTGTGGCTGCCCAGAAAAAGGAAAGTAAGAACAAAACAACAAGGAGAGTGATTGAATCATGGCTGGTATGTTCACATTCATATAAGTATTAGCGAGAAAGACAGTTCTGTGAAGCAAAAAATAGAACCTTTGGAAATATTATACTTGATCTGAGGAGATTCCTTCTTGGTTGTTTGGAGAATTCTCAGCTTTAAAAATTGCTTTTATTCATGATAGCAAAATTTCCCTAGGGTGGTATAGCAGGCAGGTATTCCCCACTTGCTAATATTTTGTAAATAACAGGTAGAATGAAGTAGTAAGTCTTGTATTCTGTGTACTCTCTTCATCCCTACCCTTTATTCAAACAAAGAAATAATGCACCCTATTAGTCACTGTACACTGAATACAGATGGATGTTTGGTTTGTGGAATACTGTCGCTTTATCTTGTTTTGAATACCTGAATGGATTAGAGAACTGGTAATTTTAGTAAATTTCCCAAAAATTGTTGTTTAGACCCTACTCACTCATTTCTGTGATTTCTAAAAAGCAACATTAATATCCAATGAAGTGTTTAGTGTTCTACCTCCTTAGACAGTGTATAAAGGGGTAAAATAAGATGAGGGCTTTGATAGACCCTTATTTAGCTTATAGTCCTGAAAATAATATTCTACTAGTAAATGTAATCATCCCCCTTTTGCTTATAAAATAGCGTGGGGAGGTAACTTGTAAAGACAAATAGGATTATTTGAGCCACTTTGAGCCTTTTGAGTGAGAATTTTAAAAAATGCAAACGTTGAGTTCCCTTCATGTAATCTATAGCTTCAGAGTTTTAAACAAGAGAATTCTACATTCTCATGTGCACGTTTGTGGGTATTAAATTAAATTTGCATAAATGAAAACTATGGGGTCTTAAAATTAACTAATAAAATTATGGTTGTAAGTAACCACTCCATTTTCTCTTCATGTATCTGCAGAGCTTTAAAATGGCTAAACACAACCGTCCGCTTTGCTTCCCGTGGAAACCAGCCACAGTTGTATTTTTTACCCTTCTTGACCCTGTGCTGAATGAAATCAGTTACTGGAGGTTTTAGAGCACTGCATTTTTATTGATTGCTCTCTTTGCCTTCACCTTTAAATAATGAACCCTAGTCAAATTACTTTAAATAATTATGTGACTTCCTGAGGGATGAAGCCTGTCAGATTAGTCCCCAATTCAAAATAACTCGTTTAAACTATGTGCCTGAGGACTTCTGGTACTTTAACTGCCAATATTAGAAAAAAGGAGGAGGAAAAGTTTAAAAATAAAGTACAAAGAGTAAGAATTTGAATTATCGCACTTCCTAGAATTAATGTTTAAAGGCCGTTTTTCCAGACACGTAGACTAGGATGAAGAAATTTCTATGCTGTGTGTCAGCTGGGATCAGACACTTAGGGCTTTGTCATGGTGGGGTATCAGGTGTATTCGGGGGTTGATTTAGTTCCACTTTTAGCTAAAACATTGTGACTTTCCTGCAGGTGGATGAAAGTCAAACTGGAGAACCAGGGTGGCTTGGAGGAGAATTAAAAGGAAAGACAGGATGGTTTCCTGCAAACTATGCAGAGAAGATTCCAGAAAATGAGATTCCTCCTCCAGCCAAACCAGTGACTGATTCTGCATCCACCCCTGCCCCCAAACTGGCTTTGCGTGAGACCCCTGCTCCCTTGGCAGTGACCGCTTCTGAGCCCTCCACAACCTCTAACAACTGGGCCGACTTCAGTTCCACGTATGTGTAGACATGCTACTCCTGATCGTTCTTAAAATCCCAGTTTAGTAATCTTTTTCCTCCAAATGTTTTTATAGTCTTGGCTTATCACTCTTTGTAAGGGAGCTGGTTTATTTTCATGACTTCTTCCTCTGACGAAAATTGGGGATTATGATCGTCACTGAACTGGATTTAATGATATCATGGCCTAACAGTGATTTACCATGGTCTGAACTAAAGCCAGTCATCATGTTTTGTTTAATATTTTATCTGTATCTTCCATTCTTAGGGAAGAAACAGAGAAATACAACTTCCTAATAATCTGTGTTAACATCCTGTCAGTCAGCAAATACTCATTTCCTGAATACAGGCATGTAGCAGTTTTTTTACTGGGCAGAAACAGAAATTGAATTCAGTCATGTGGTTTTGAGTAAGATGAAAAGCTGTTTCCTCTAAAGTTTTGTGCTTTTATTAGTCTTGTACGAATGTACAGTGGAGTGAAAAGGTGTGTACAAAGTGCATACCAAGCTATTAGTCCTGTACCTTTGATCGCCAAAAAATAACATTAAGGAAAACATGTAAGCAAAGGTTTGCAGTGATAGATGAAACCACTGTCCAGGCTTCCATGTGCAGTTGTCCAAAAATATTTCTTACTGGTATGGTAGTAAGAGTGACTGGAGTAAGTGTTTTAAATTTCTTTTCCAGTCTAATCATCTTTCAGAAGAAACACATAGAAGGCAAGGAGTCAAGATGTGTTTCTGAGGAAAGATTAGGTGGAACAAATGGAGAAAGGGGAATAGTGACTGAGGGAAGGATATAAGTTTTCATACTTGATGTCATAGAAAGGTGAAGGTGCTAAAGGAGGTCTTCCCTGTGTAATCTCTGCTTTAAAAAAAAGCCTTCCAGTGGCATGACTTCCAAGTTCAAATTCTTCCTTTTTATCTTGATTGAAAAGTTTAGACTTTTTAAACTAAAGTTTCAGTTAAAGTAAAGACTAATACTATGCTTAGGATTTATTTGGGTTTTTTTTATTGTGGTTGTTTTTTGTTTGTTTTTTGAGACAGGGTCTCACTGTGTAGTTCAGGCTGACCTTGAACTCACGATATAGTCCAGGCTGGTCTCAAACCTGTGGTAATCCTCCTGCCTCAGCCTCCTGAGTGCTGAGATTGCAGGTGTGAGTCACCATACCTTGCTCCAGGATTTGTTTTTGCTGTGAATCAAATCAGTGTGACTCTTTTTCTCATTAAATATGTGGTGTGCAAGTCTCCACTATCATTATACGCTTCTTGTTTTCCAAATCAAAAATCAAGGTGTGCAGTCTAACAAAGGAATTATTTTGATTTTCTAATTTGTTTATATGTCTTATAAAGATGTAAACAGTAAGTTGCATTTAGATCTGCACTCTCATAGATGTATTGATCCACAGTTACAAAATCACAGAATTTGAACTATCTCGATAGAAGACAACTTGCTGCTCTGGAGAGGCCACTTATAGTTACCGTGGCAACTAGACATATGACCAGGTCTTACTGGAGGATGGATGGGACAGAGAAGCTCTGCCTGCCCACGTGGCATATTTTCATATGTGCCATTTGACTTTTTTTTCTCATGTAGGTATTGTTATTGTGTTATTGTGATGAGAGTCCTCACATGAGGATGTTTTTCTAGTGCTTTGAAGTTTCAGAGTTTTTTCATATCTAGTATTTCAGGTGACCTTCACAACCAACCCACAGTGGCAGAATATTGTTCTAATGAGGAAATCGAGATTCGGAGAAACTTATAATTTGCCTGAGGCTTTTTGCTGGTGTGTGAATTTTAGATTCAAACCTAAACCCAGCACCCCTTCCTATCCTCCTTGTTCGTTAACTGTAGAAGGCCACATAAACGCACTAGCTTTGGGTTACACAGACTCTGGGGTGCCATTTTCATTTTATTTATTTATTTATTTATTTATTTATTTATTTATTCATTCATTCATTCTTCAGTGCCGGAGATCGAACTCAGATCGTTGCCCTCCTGGGGCAGGTGGCGCCACCCCTGAGCCCTGGCCCTGTTTTATTTACTTTTAAATATTTTTGCACTGTACTGTGGGTGGGAAGCCGATGTGCTAGGAAGTGCTCACTGTTTATATTGTGTGCCTTTCCTTCCAGGTGGCCCAGCAACACGAATGAAAAACCTGAAACAGACAACTGGGATGCATGGGCAGCCCAGCCTTCTCTTACCGTCCCCAGTGCTGGCCAGCTAAGGCAGAGATCAGCCTTTACTCCAGCCACAGCCACTGGCTCCTCCCCGTCTCCTGTGCTGGGCCAGGTGAGGTGTGAAGACTTAGTGAGCCGTACGGCACCAACAACTTCAGCAGATGCTTGTTGGCAGTACCCTTAGAAGTAAGCCCCCTGATGGGAAATGGGGTTGGCCAGCTAGAATGTGGCAGGAAGACAGTTCTGAGCCAGGGAAGCTCCTGCCTGGGTTGATGGAGACACTTCACTGAAGAGGTAGCATTTGAACTCTACCTTGACCAGCCGGTAAAATCTTACTTAAAAATGGAGAATGTTGGGCTGGGGATTTAGCTCAGTGGTTCTGCCGCCTGCCTTGCAAGTGCAAGGACCTGAGTTCGATCCCTGGTACCAAAAAAAAAAAAAAAAAAATGGAGAATGCTAGCATATCATATAGGAAGTGCTATAAGAAGAGGCTTTAAGCATGTGTGTAAGGAAAATCATGAGTAAGTCTATTTGGCTAGAATCTTGGGTTTTTGTTAGAAAAGCTAGACTGACTGCAGGTTAATAAGAAACTCTGAACTAGCCTGCCAAGGAAGAAAATTTCTGAAAACTATAGTTATTCTGAATATGTCTTTTTTGCTTAATACAATAAAGATAAAAGAATGGAATTAAAGGAATGAAATTTCTACAAAAATCAAACCAAATAGCACACACTCATCTGGGAGGGACCTAGGGCTCAGGGACAGTTTCCACTCTCAAAACGCCCAGATGAAAGCCGGATACTGGGCAGATTGGTGAAGAGGTGGTGTGCAGGAAGATTAGAACAGAGGATCAGCAAGCAGTGACACCTGTTAGGAGCGTCCAGGTGTGAGTGAGGGCATCCTGGATGTGGGTGGCTACATTCACATTTACCAAGTGGGAGGAGCCAGTGGAAAGGGAAGAGAAGAAACTGTAGAGGGAGCCATGTGGGGAGTCAGGGGCCTTGGGAGCCAGCAAGAAAGGAAAGAGAAATCCCTTGCCTTAAGGCAAGTTAGGAAAGCAGGAAGAAATGGACTTGAGGTAGAGAGAGGAGTTGGGTTTAGATGTGTTACAGTGATGGTAGAAACAGAACATTCATATAGTGGTGTCTGGCAGACTGGTGGGACGTGGATCTGGAAAGTGGAAGAAAGATGGTGACCACAGGTATGTGAGAGTCACCCCCCACAGCGAACAAAGTCAGATGCGTGGAAAGGTGGATTACCTGTGCATAGGTCATCATGGTTCCATGGGTTCCAGAGATGGCCTGGAGAAGGAGGAGCAGCTACTCAGGAGGAGGTGCCAACTTCCCTTTGCATCTGCTCTGGATCAGCACTTTGCAGAGGTCCCATGCTCAGTAATGCTAACTTGGTGACAGAGGAGGGGGTGCATGACCAGGGGGCGGAGGGGGTAGATGTGGGAAACTCCGAGGAGGAAAGTGTTTTGTGTTCAAAAGAGGGATAGGGTGCTCACAGTAAAGGCTGTCGTCAGTGCAAAAGAGACCATTCTGTGCAATAAGTAGGACGTCTTATTGACTTGGGAAATAGTAAGGTAAAAGCAGATTGCAGAATAGTAAAATGGAAATGAGCAGTAAGAAAGCAGAAGGTTTGTGAAGAAAAGGAGCAGAATGGAAAGAGAGCATTGGAAAGGCACAAGCCGTGCATGTGGCCAGTGAAAGGGTTCGTAAGTCAGGATTCAGAATTTAATTGGTGCCAGGTGGACACAGCATTAAACATACAGAAAAGAAACTGTTTTCTTTTGGGTTTAGAAGGGTGAAGAGAAATTGGAGAAGTGAAGTGGAGAAGGAAGTTCCAGTCGGTACCGGCATCAGTCTCAGAGCAGAGGGAGCCCTGAGGGCCTGCGGAATTTTGAAGTTTAGAAATAAGCTAACTAGGGCTTTGGCAAAAGAGAGTAAGAATTGCCTGGCTGAATTTAACCTGAATCTTGATCATTCCGCATCGCCTCAGCTTTCTCTCAGCTCAAAGCTAGGGATAATAACAGTTGTATAACCCACTATAACTGTTACTGTTGTCGGAGCAATTCTGTTCATGAATCTTCATGAGTTTTCTTACCAGCCTTCTAAAGAAAGTACCATCTCTGTTTGTGGATTTGGGAACTGAGGTTTAGAGAGATTTAACAGTTGTTGAGCTGTCCCAGAATTAATGAGTGCCAGCCTTGGAATTCAAACCTGGGGTCCTGTTCCCATGAAAAGGTTCAGGGGACAGGCACAGGAAAGGTTTTTCAGGGGAGAGATTCTGAAATAAATACCTTTGAGGGCACAGAGGAGGTGGCCCACGGTGGGGTCCAATCCGGGTGGAGAAATCAACACAAGTGGCCAGGAGGGTTAGACAGGACCGAAGGGTTTTGTATCCGTGGCTGTGAGGTCAGAGGTTCACTGCAAGGGGGAAGAATGAAAGGGAAGAATATGTGACCTGGTGTGTGTGGAGTCCAGAGAGACATGTTGTTCCCCGGGGACTGAAATGGAAGGAAACAGGGAAGGTGTAGGTTTGGGAAGGTGAAAACCCATGAAAAGCATTTGTTTCATTTATTCTGCTAATTTCTTTTGGTTCATTGAAAAGAGTTTTGTGATATTATCTGTTTGTAAGAGTCTGTTTTGTCTGTGTTTTGTACTCTTGAGTAACTACTTTTAAGATTGTGATACCCAGTGTATTAACCATTGATAGTCTCTTAATTTATCATGAAATTTTGTTTTTATTTTTTCTGTAAAATAAAAGTTATTGATGTAGACATTGAAACTATTTGAGCTGTTGTAGATTCCCCATTTACCACAATCCTATCATAATATAAAGTAAAAGTAACTTCCAAAGGCAAGCACAAATCGGTTCTGAACTCTCTTTGGGCCTTAGCTTTTGTTCCTGTCCATTTACATAGATGCTTGCAAATGAACAGTGCTCTATGTGTTAGTGGCTGCTTTAAGACGCTGTAGGATTTAAAGAGATAACAAGTGCCTCACCCTGCCTTTCCAGCCTCATCTCCTACGCACCCCTCCGTGAGTCTAGGCTACCTACAGTCCCGGATTGCACTCCTCCTCCTGGACCCGCCGCAGCGCATGCCCAGTACCACCGAAAAGCCTTTGCCTGTGCTGTGTCTTCCGCCTGGAATTCCCTTCCTGCGCAGCCCCACCTACCAAACCCCTTATCCTTCAAGGCTCAGCTCAGATGCCTCCTGCTCTGTGAAATTGTCCCTCATACCCTCAAGCAGAATCCATCCTGTTTTCTCTGTTCCTACAAGGAGGAGTTGGAACTTCTTTATAGCATATTTCATTCTACCAGATGGTATACTTAGTTGGTTTTATCTCTTTCTTCCCCATTAACTTTGAGTTCCTGGCTAATCTTATCATAGTGTCTATTTTTTATAGTATGTTATGGTCAATAAAATGCTTTATGCTAAATTATTGAGGAGAGGCAGAGATGGTGTTTTATTCATCTTTGTAATCCCACAGTGCCTTACATATAGATGGACAATAAGTGGTAATAACAAAGAATTTAGGCTAATCCAACCCTGTTTCTCCCAAGGTGCTGGAAATTGACCCACTAAACGACATCCCAGCCCTAACCCCTGTTTCACTAAAAGGAACTAAAACAAGCACAATTCAACACCCAGACTAAAATATCAACTGATTATCATCTCATGCAGTGTAGTACTATTTTTGCTTCACCATTAATCCTCCACTAGAAATCCAAATCAAGTTGGAAATGGGCAGGTGCCCTGGGCAAGTTGAGAGTTAAAATAGAACCAAAATATTAAAAGTACACAGCCAAGTGCAACAGAAGTATGCTGCTTAAAGTGGGGAAATCTCAATGGTGCTGAGATGGCTCTGTGAATGGGCTGGCAGTTTTCGCCTCCATTTTTGGAAATACACAATTATTGAGAAACAGTGAGGCAGGTTTGTGTGCTTGTATGTGCTTATTGAAGAAAAAGTACCAGTATTCACATCCGCCTTAATTGATAACAAACACAATTTAATGAGAGGTCCTTTATGTTATTCCACACAAGGGTGAAAAGGTGGAGGGGCTACAAGCGCAAGCCCTGTATCCTTGGAGAGCCAAAAAAGACAACCATTTAAACTTTAATAAAAACGATGTCATCACCGTCCTGGAACAGCAAGATATGTGGTGGTTTGGAGAAGTTCAAGGTCAGAAGGGTTGGTTCCCCAAGTCTTACGTGAAACTCATTTCAGGGCCCATAAGGAAATCTACAAGGTATTTTTGTGTTTGTCTGCCTCTATTTCATGAAATCAATATTGGGCATTAAATTATTGTTTGTACTAGTAAGAGTCATAGAGAAGAATTGCAGGATTATTTTGTCTTCTGATTTAAAAGAAGTTAGAGTACATGAAGTACAAAAAGGGAGCCTTTTATAGATAAGTCATCTTTCTTCCCTCAGGGAACCTATACATCCTGTTTTTGATTGAACTGTGCAAGAAAGAATTCTGAGCTGAGACCTAGAACATTCGTGCATTGTTTAGAATTACTCTCATGATACTTAATGTGCAGTACTGTACCAGGCATATGTGAATGCTTAGAAAACCAAAGAGTTTGGGGAAATAATTGGAAAAATGAATTATCTTTTTTGTTTAGGGTCTGCTTATAGCATGGCACCTGCAAAGTTGTTTAATTATCCCAACCATATAGATGTTCAAAACAAATTACAAGCTTCAAGAAGAGAAAAATAGCAAAAATATTCCATGAGCATCCATCAGTCATGCTTTGAAATAGACCAGAACATAGGCTGTCTGTTTGCCATAGCAAAGTGCTGAAAAACTGGAACGTGATCACAGAGTGCTGCCTTTGTAGCCCTTCACTGTGGGCTTTTAGCTTAGCCAAGTATAGTGGTTTCACCTGTGAATTGTTCATTTTAAAAGAGAAAAAGTATCATTTGTACAATTTATTTTAAGAGAAGAATTAAAATACTCTTTCCTTCCCTTCTTTTAGTATGGAATCTGGTTCTTCAGAAAGTCCTGCTAGTATGAAGAGAGTAGCTTCCCCAGCAACCAAGCTGGCTGTGTCGGGTGAAGGTGAGGACCTAATCCATGTTGTGTTCTTGGAGGTGGGGGGACATTATGTAACACAAACAGTTTGCAATGAGGCTGGACTTTATTTTTTTATAGACCACATTAATTTATGATCAAGATATTAAAGAATATTTATTACATAAATAATTTATTTTTCCTTGGTCTGTTTCATAACACAGACCTAAATATTATATAAGTACCAGTCTACAGAAGGAGATATTATTTTAAATTTTTAAGAATGAACGAAGCTACATAATTCAGGTCCTAATGGTAAAAAACCACATCTTTTCTACATTCAATGCAGTCATTATCATAGCACTGACTGAGGAGTGCTACCTGAGTTAGTTAGGCTTTGCATATAGAAGTCTGAGCAGGCTTTGTAGTTAACAGATGTCATAACTTCCTAATTTTGTAGTAATTTGTCAAGGGTTCCTGGAATCAATTATATGAGGAGAGAATTTTTATTTAGTTTGCTATAATAAAAGTTAGATTCCTTAGACACTTTGCCTAATGAAAATACCATTATTGCAATAATTATTTCCATGGAAATAGCAACTGAAAAGGTTTAATGGTAGTTCAGACTCGCAATAAAAGCATTCTTTTTTCAAGAGGAATTTGTTTTATTGTTTTTATACCGAGTATCAAACTCAGGACTTTGTACTTGCAAAACAGGTACTGAGCTATATCCCCAGCCTTCAAGAGGAATTTTTAAAGGTGCTTTTTTTTTTTTTTTAAGTTTACAGATATAAGTATAAAACCTCATTATCAGGCTGGGGATTTAGCTCAGTGGTTCTGCTGCCTGGCTCGAAAGTGCAAAGACTCGAGTTTGATCCCCAGTACCAAAAAAAACCCCAAAAAACCCTCATTATCACTAAAAACTTCTAGTATTTTTTCATATCAAATATTTGTTATTATCATGAAAACAAATATAAACATAATTCTCTTATACATCCTCTATCTTAATGGTTTTTAAAATTCACTAATTAGAGGAACAAGGCAAAAAGCACATTTAAATACAATATGTACTATTGATATAGTAAAAAGCAAATTTTGCCCCCTCTTCAATAAAACTTCACTGTGTTATATCCAGTCAGGTCTTGGTGTAGGACCGGAGTTGTATCCTGGCTCTGCCGTGTAGTGGCCACATGGTACTTTTGTCCATGCCTTAGCTTCCTCATCTGAGAAGTGGGCATAACACTTACCCCCTTGATGTGGACATTAAGGATTAGGAAATAAAATGTGTAGGGGCAGGGATTTAGCTCAGTGGTTCCGCTGCCTGCCTTGCAAGTGGAAGGTCCCGAGTTCGATCCCTGGTAACAACAAAAAAAAAATGGATAAAGCTTTTGAAACAAAATTAAGTAAACATCTGCATTTTGCTTCATTTCCTGGGTGACTAGTAGGACCACTCATCGGAGAGTGGCGTGGAGAAATGTTTGTTTTAAAACAAGTAAGATGCTCAGTATTGGAGCCCTCAATAACTAGGTCACTCAGATGAACCACATTTTTTCCAAAAATCAGGCAACAGAATAGAAGTAAACTCTGCTCTCAGTTGATCATTTATTTGAAATATTAGAAAACACTGTCGGCATCATAGAGGAAGTCTGTGAGGGGACATTAGGGTTAGAGACTCTTGGAGAGGCTGTTTTCAGATATTGATGAGCCTCTTACTGATACTGTATTGAACATCTAATGTACAGTAAGCTGTAAACCAGATTAAATAGATTACACATCTGGGTAGCTGTTAAAACACTGACTTGGGGGGCCAGGGATTTAGCTCAGTGGTGCCGCCGCCTGCCTCACAAGCACAAGGTCCCGAGTTCAATCCCTGGTACCAAAAGAAAAAAAAAAAAGCAGTGACTTGGGACTGGCCTGTGCCTTCTGTTGAATGCCTCTTGAAAAGGCGTTGCTGACATGGAGCCCTCTGACTTCACTCATCCCGTCTCTGGGCTTCACTGACCTGCAGCGCTCTTGCGGGTGCCTGTGTACATGGCAGGATGTGCAAAGCTCCCAGCCTCTACAGGCTCCTCATAGTTTAAACTGCAATAGTAGGTTCACCCACACATCGTGTTTCTGAAGTTCCTGTACATTTTGAAAGTTATTTCAAATTTTGGATTAACTGGTCAGGCGTGGTACCACAAACTTCTAATTCCAGCACTCTAGAAGGCTGAGGCAGAAGGATCACAAATTCATGCGTAGCCTAGATAACTTAGCAGTTTATCAAGATCCAGTCTCAAAAAATAAAAAAGGACTAAAGATATAAAAGCCCCAGGATCAATCCCCAATAGTACCACGAAGGGAGAAAAGAAATTTAGATCTATTTTAAAGAAATTGACTTCTAAGTTGAAGAATCACTGGGGAAAGTTTAGGTTGCCCAGGATCCTGTCTGAAATAGCCACTGGGAACTAAAGAACAGTAACTAGGAAGAAGAGGACAAGAGAAGTGTCAGAATACTGAGGAATCAAGAAAAGTAAAACTACATTAATACAAAGAAAATGCCCTTATTAAAGCCACCAAACTTTGATTTCAAGGTGTAGGAGTGATTTTTCCATTTTCAACTCTGGAGTTATGTGTTACCGGCACTGCAGGGCTAAAGACAAGGAGGCTCGGCTGGCCTTCTGTCTCCTAGCAGTCCATCTGCTGGCCTGGCTACAGTACACAGGTGACCAGAGAAACTGAAGGAGAAGCTTTGGATCTCAGGGTGCCCACATCAGCATGTGTACTAGGGTCTTGTTTTTTTGTGTATTTTAGTCTTCATTAGTACCTTCTACAGAGGTTGTTGTACTTGGGCAGTGGAGGTCTGCAAACTAAACTATTGCCTATGTATCAAAATGAGACTTTCCAGTTAAGGAATATCGTCTGAAATCATAGTGAGACACATACAGCACCTGTCATAAAAAAGAACTTTTTGAATCTGTAGTGACTTTTCTGTTGTTTTTTTAAAAAATGCAAAAGTCTGGGAGGAAATGGAAAAAAAGTAGAAACAAGAAATGTATGCATCTTTCTGTAAATCTTTGCTGTCCTACCTGGTATCTAGGGTTTTTGTATTTTCTGAGTATGACTTTGTTCTAAGTCTTAGTAGCACCAATTAAAAGCAATACAGAATTCTGCTTACAATTGAAAAAGAAAAACTTCTGAAGACGTTAAAGCATATAATTTCTTTAAGACTAACTTACATGAATTAAGAAAACGTGATAGACTGTGGTTTGTCTTTTTACCTTTTTGTCAAAGCCGTGATTATTCCCTAGGGTTGGGTAGACATGACTTTCATCATCAGTCCACTCTACCTGTTGATGCATTTGAGTGACACATAGATGTCCATTTTAACTAAATGTTATTTCTTATTTTGTATCCAGTAGCTTTCTGCCCTCTGCTATGTGGCACAGTAAGACATAATGAAAAAGTTACCTTCTTTAATCTGTGAATTGGTACCCTCAAAATTGAAACAGATATTTGCACAGCAAAAGCCATTTTCATTTAAAAAAACAAACAAACACTGTGAGCCTAAATCGTAGGTCATTTTTGGTTTTCGGTGTCGGTAGACACATAGTTGTGTTTTGTTCGTCTGCTGGGTCTTCGCAGGCACTGTCTGCCTGTCTGCATTATTGAATTTTTATGTGCAGTTGGGGAATGTGGAGTCTAGCATATTGCGCAGTTCTGTATCGTGTCTGTGATTACCCTTTCTGTGGAATGGATCTTATCCTAACTTCCCAATTCATAAACTTGCTTTTGCAAAGATGTCTGGGATTTCTTTAAACAATCAAGCTCTCTCCGTATCTCAATATTTCTCCCCACCAGAATTTATTGCCATGTACACTTACGAGAGTTCTGAGCAAGGAGATTTAACCTTTCAGCAAGGGGATGTGATTTTGGTTACCAAGAAAGATGGTGACTGGTGGACAGGAACAGTGGGCGACAAGTCCGGAGTCTTCCCTTCTAACTATGTGAGGCTTAAAGATTCAGAGGTAAACCCACATTAACTGTTTCCTTTTCTGTGCAATGGTTCTTCCGGTGGGGACTCATGATGTTTGCAGGTGGAACACTCTGTTGGGTTTTGCTAAGTTCTTGAATGCAACAGTGACCACCGTGGGACCTGGAACTTGTCATTTGGTACTGTGGGGTAAGCATTGGCTTCCCACGAGCAGAACTCCTGGGGCCAAGTGGAGGCTTCATGAAAGGGTGGTCTTCATTACCTGGGTTACAATGTTACTAATCTCTGTTCCTGCATGTAACCAGTTTAGGATTTCGAGTAAACTTTCTTTTAGTTCTTCATGGAGGTTGATTTTTAGATGCCTTCTATTTTAGCTTGGGCAGCAGTATTTTGCCCATGTAAAATAAAAGTATTCTGGTGATACTGGCCTTAGAATTTTGGGTGGTAGGAAGTTTCTTAATTTCTTTCTTTTTTGATATACACAGTAGAAACATGCAAGATCTAAGAGGTTGGTACATTTTGGGGATGCTGTTATCTGTATATATTGGAAGTGGCTCCTGTTGCTTAATAGAGCCCTACAAATCTGATTGTGTAAAATAAAATGTGGTCTCGATTCTGCAAGTTGAATGAAATGCAGGGAGAGACAGTAGAGTACAGGAAATTGTCTTGTGGAGAGTTTCAGTGTGTAAATGTAGCCATTTAACAGATCCATAAAAATAAACGAATAGGAATTCACTCTTTTTTTGTTTTTTGTTTTTGCTTGCTTTTTTAAAAGCACAGCCAGTGCACCTTTATTTTCTTACTTCTCCTCATACCTTGTAGTCATTGAGCAAAAAGGCCGACAGAGCTGCTGTAGAGAAGACTGTGTTCTTGAGTGTAAGTGAGTGGACAAAGCGCTAGCTCTCTCTCATCCCATTTAAATGTCAGGAGACCTCGCACAGTGGGCTCTTCTGTAGCGCCCTTGACTCCTTGGTTCTGGGCCAAGGCTGTGCCTGGTGACTTGGTACAGCCTTCTCACCTTCCCTGCACTTCCAAATAATGGTTTATATACTTTTTTTTAAAGAGATGTCATTATTTTTGTTGTTTCTCTTGCTATGGTCTTGAGAACAGCTTGCAGAAATTCCCTTAGATAGATTTGTGTAAGTCTGCCCACCCTTGGAGGATGTGGCAGAAGCCTGTTAGGAAATAATTTTCTCCTGTAAGATAGCTGGCTTACTGAACTCCGTAGACTTGCAAAGGGAGGCTTAAACTCATCTCCAGACCATCAAGTTGGCTCCAATAGGAATCATTCAGATGCTGTTTCAGGGGGAACGGGGGAAATGCTAAAAACTAAACTCAGTTTCTGTTATGCTTGAAAACACTTCAAGTGACATTACTTTTTAGATCACTGAAAATACAAAGGCCATTTGGTTTGCATTTAAATTATTTTGACTTTATTAAATTTATTTACACTTTTGACTAAGGTCTGTTTACATCAGGAATTTAATAACATTTAAATAATATAATTAAAATCTAAATCACTGAAAATAAAAAACCATTGTATCATATTTTAATAAATTAGTTTTGATTTAAAAAACCGTTAGAAATCAGTATGTTTTCAAAAGTTGACTTTTTAAGGTAAACAGAGTTGTAAGGTACTTTCTTAATCATAGTCTTAAATTATTAGCTACTGCAGAAAAACCAACAGTACTAAAGAATATTTAGCTACCTTGTTTAGTAATTTAAAAAAATCTAAAAAGTCCATCATTTTGTCCTTCTTAGATACAGAGCTCAATGTATGAACAAAACATCTTACCAAACTTAAAACCCAGACCAAGCTTCAGGCACCAGACTGGACCTGTGGACCGGGGCAGGGTTGTCCTTCCTGCCACCCTTTTCTAGGGCACAGCGTGGGACAGTTTTCTACCAGTGTAGCCAAGAACCTGACCTTCTGGGTACATCTGGCTCGTTGTGTTGGCTATGATTTTTCAAAGCGAGCATGTTGGAACCACTTGAACTTGGGGTTGGGTATTGCCAGTTCTGTCTTCTTTCCATGGAATATAGGAAGAATCATTTAAGCCTGTCCATGGAAGTAACTGATCACTTGGTATCTTACTTCATTGGTATTCCTTTATTTGATGTGTAGCCCATAAATATAGCAAGACAGATTGATATTGTATAATTATACTCCTTAAAGAAAGCATAATCAGAGTAAAAGTTTAACCCAAACTTTTCCTGGTAAATGATTATTAAATTTCAATAACCACAAATATAGGGACAGTGATAAGTTGGTTTCCTAGTAAATACATTGCATGTTTTTATTCTGTAGTAATTCTCATTTAGTTTCTTTGCTTTGTTTTAATTGAAAAGCTCAATTTTCTGCAGGACAGGGAGTCAAGGGTGGACATTTATTCATAATAAAGCACATTGTCACAACAGATTGCATTCTGGCCTGTGTCCTGGCTCTCGTGGTCTCTGTTGGCTGACTCAGCTGGTTTAAAGTTCCATGAGTGTCCACAAGAGGAACTTAGTCCTGGAACACTTAATAGCTGGAAAGAAATACGGTCTGCTTCTGTAGATTGTGCTTCCAGCACAGCTAGAGAATTGTCAGCGTTTAGACAGTGTGAAATTGGGTTAAAAGGCTATGCAGGACAGCAGTCCCCTTTGGCTAGAGAGAGGTAAGTGGAATGGAGAAAGGAAGGAGGATCCCATCATCCCTGTGCCATTTTACATCTTTAAAAAGAAAAACTCTGCTAGGCATGGTGACACACGCCTGTAATCCCAGCACTTGGGAGGCTGAGGCAGGAGGATCATTGTAGCCTGGGCTACATAGTGAGTTTAAGAACAAAAATCAATAGAAAGAAGAACTCTAGACCAAATGTAGCAAAATATTAATGTTTTAACATATTAGATCTGGATGGTAGACTCACAGTTGTCTGTTATAGTCTCCGTACTTTTTATGTGTGAAATGTTTCCTAATTAACTGTTTGAAAATAAAGTTTGAGCTGAGTGTGTAGGCCATAGTCCTCCTAGCATGGAGCCTCCTGATGGGTTAGTCCAGGTCCAGGATGCGCCTGTGCCCTTTGGGGTGCCACATGCTTGGTTGGTTTTTTTTGCTTCTAAAGAAAACAGTAAAAGCCAGCTGTTAGAAAGTCCTGTGTCCTGTGTTTTTGTCCTGTGTTTTCTTGATATACACCCTCCTGTCAGGTGACACTACGCTACTGTTTGCCCAAAACAAAAAGAGGGATTTAAGGCTCAAGTGGGTTTGTATCATAATCATTTTTTAAGTTGTATGATCAAAACTCTTCAGCATGCAAATGAGACCTTTTGCTCTGTTTTAAGGGCTCTGGAACTGCTGGGAAAACAGGGAGTTTAGGAAAAAAACCTGGTAAGTTATGTATCCCAATGCTTATTTTTCAATGTTATAAATGTAATTGATAGTTTTTCCCAGTCTTTGTTTATTAGGGCCAGAAACTTAAAGACAGAGAGACTTTTTCCTGAGAGTGGTTAGAGTAGTTCCTTTTTTTGGAATCCATTAATACTCACACATGATTATGACATTTGGCTGTTGCTTCACACATGGGGGGTGGGGGTGTTACCAGACAGAAGGCTCTCTGAGGTTGTAAGGAAATAACTCAGGCAAGATGATGGGAAATTGGGCCGGGGATTTAGCTCAGTGGTTTCGCTGCCTCCTGTGCAAGTGCAAGGACCCGAGTTCGATCCCCAGTACCAAAAAAAAAAAAAAAAGATGGTGGGAAATTGTCATGCGTGGAGATGTAAAACTGTGGGGTTAGCTGCTTCTCAGTCATCACATTCAGCTCAGTAACCCCTTTTCCACTTCCTGAAAACACATTAAAGTTCCAGGACATAAACAGTGGAGGAGTTCAGAGGAGTAACAGATACTATCAGATTATAGCCCCCACTAATTTAGAAGCCACTGGGTGGTTTTCCTCAGGTACACATTGAAGGTACAAAATTATAGTCATGCCTCTGAATTCAGAGTTTTAGTTTATTTAAACAAAATCACATGTTCTGTAAATAGTAGCACAAGAGAAAAGGAAGCAGATGTAAAATAATATGGTTTGTATGGCCCGTCTTCCTGGTCTAGGTTATTTGTGCTTTTTTGCTGTCATATCCTTGGGAAATTATTATAGGTTGGAACAGTCACTACTCTGCTGAGAGGGGTTTGTGTGTCTGGTGGTCAGCTCCAAATGGGCTTCCATAGCCAGGAAAGGCAGGGGTTGGGTTGGTGAAGACCTTCACCAGACTCCACATAGTGGGCCACCTGGTCAAGTGTCTTTGACTGTGAGCCTTACATTTTAAATGTTTGTCACACAAAGAGTCTCGGTAGCTCATCTCAGTACCCAGGTGGGCTTAACTTTGCACTAAAGCTAGCAAGCTGCTCGGGCACTCAAAAGGCAGCACAGAATGTTGTGGCAGATCGCTGGCTCATATGGCATGTGCTCTAAGGAGCAGAAACAGCTGATGCCAAATAGGACACTGATTGGGACTTTCTCCAGACCCAAACCTCTTGGAACAGTGCTCATCCTTGGCATGCTACTCAAGAGTCTCCATCCCCAGCAGGTTCCCAGCTGGGGCTTTCAGTCAGAGCTACACTATCTGTAAGCTGGGCTTCAGACTTTCTTGCTTCCTCGAGCTCTCTGAAGCATCAAGCAGGCCAGGCCTCCCCGTGACCTGGCACCTTTGTCATAGTGGCTGATCCGAGGTTGCAGAACACAACAGCTGGGCCTTGCCAAAGTGCCAGACTCTTACTTCTCCCCTGAGATACTAGGAAAGTAGATCTGTCAAAGCGCAGACCCTCTTTGCCTCCTTGCTTTCCATCTTTCTTCACTTTGACATTCTTTCTTTCTTCCTTTTTCTATGTCCTTCTTTCCTTCCTTTCAAAAGCCAGTGTGATGGAGAGTGAGTGTAGCACAGTAGAGCAGTTTGTTCTGCATCACTTCTGAAAGTTCCAAAGTGGCTGCAGATCCACCAGAATCTGTCCGAGCAGAAGTCTGTCTTTTTATGCTTGACACTGGGGCCAGCAGAAATGTCTTGTCAGAGCCTGGTCTATGGTCTTGCTGGAATTTTTCCACAGAACTGTTTATTATTTTTTTCTCTGTGCTGAGTTATTGTTTTTCCATAAAATTCTCCTTAACTACAGGTTCCTTCTTGAAATAAAAAGAAGTAAACTCACTTCCATGACTCATACCAGAAATTCAGGAATCACTCCCAAAATATGAGCCATAAAGAAAATTAGAGTCTGAAACTATATAAATGAGCTGCAGCTAGGATCTTGATGATTTCAGTGGAAAATGGGATTTCTCTTCTGTATTTGACAGAGGGTTGTCTTGGGTTATTATTCACTGAGCACTGGGGGCAGGGGAAGTGGTGAATAAGGGCCAGCCCCGGAGCAGGTTTTTGCAGTGACAATGGGAGGGGCTGGGACAGAAGGGCAGGGAACTGGGGGAATTCGGAGGGAAGTTGGTAAGTAAGCTCTGAGACAGTGCGGAAGTTCCACAGAACACTGAGCCAAGCTGAAAGATCAGCCCAGCCCCTGAACGCTGCTTGAACACTTTAGCTCTGGGAAGGGGTAGGGTGGGGCAATTCAGTCTCCCTCCTCGAGAGAGAGCAAAATCCACACAGTATGCTAGTTTTGATGATGTTAACCTGTGACCTTAGGAGACGGCTGTGTCTTCTTAGGATTTCCCTCGCCTCACTCTAACTGTGCTCTGCAATGTTTGATCTTGTTTTTCAGAAATTGCTCAAGTTATTGCCTCCTACACTGCTACTGGTCCCGAGCAACTTACTCTGGCCCCTGGTCAGCTGATTTTGATCCGAAAAAAGAATCCAGGTGGATGGTGGGAAGGAGAGCTGCAAGTTAGTGTCTTTTCTATGTATTTTAAATTGTCGGGGCTGGGGATTTAGCTCAGTGGTTTCGCTGCCTGCTATGCAAGTGCAAGGACCCAAGTTTGATCCCCAGTAAAAAATATGAAAAATAAATAAAATAAAATAAAATTGTCTGTCCAAGTTTGAATATGCAGACTCTCCAAGGGACAGTATTTTATTGCTAAGTACAAAGAACTTCTTACTGGCTGCATCTTTTGTGTGAATAGTGCAAGATGCAAACATTTCAGAAACTGTTTAGTTCCTAAGTTTCAAAGAGCCAGTAGCAGGATTCTGAGAGTTAAGGATTCATCTTAAATTTCATCCATTCAACTTCTGGGCTCAGATTCTTAGTACAGAGACAGAATTTACAGGTTGACTGATGCCTGCATACATCGTGGTCCATGGAAGTGGAGCCCTTCACCCGTGGTATATAAGGTGCTGCGGCAGAGGTTTCTTTTTAATCAAAGCCACATCTGTCTTTAGTTTCCGTGTGTGTGTGTGTGTGTGTGTGTGTGTGTGTGTTGTCTTGTTACTCACTTTGCAGTTGGGATGTAGACACTAGATTAGATAAAATTATTATATCAGTATTAAATTTACTAAAATTGATATCTGTATTGTGATTCTATAACAGAATATTCCTATTTTTAGTAACTACCCATTGAAGAATTTAGGGACGATGAGGCATGATGTAAACAGCTTGTACTCAGATGACTGAGCAAAAGGAATGGCATGGATAGAGGGAGGGCGAATGAGCAAATGGTGAACCAGGTGGGGTTGAGTGTTAACAACAGGTAAGTCCAGGTGTAGTGTATGGGTGTTCTGTGCACTTTTCTTATTCTTTCAACTTTTCCATAAGTTTGAAGATATTTCTAAACCCAAAGTCACTTTAAAGAATGTTACTTCTATAGGAATTACCGTTGACCCTTTCTAGCTGTAGGTCACATATCAGTGAACTCAACTAGCTCCAAACTGAAACTGTTTGAGAAATTTGCCTCTATATTGAGCATGAACGGACTTTCTTTTCCTTGTCATTATTTCCTAAACAATACAGAGTAACACCTGCAGTATTAGCATTTATCTTGTCTTAGGGCTTATGCTAACCTAGAGATGATTTAAAGTACTACAGATGCTGTGCATAAGTTATATGCAAGTACTGTGTTATTTTAGCCAGGCATAGTAACCGTCAGCCTGGACTGCATAGTGAGTCTCTTTAAAAAAAAAACTTGTATCATTTCATAAAGAAACTCCAACATCCTCAGATTCTGGTATCCGTGGGCGTCCTGGAAACTATCCCCCCAATGCCGAGGGACAATGTCCTTAACAGATGAGCCTGCTGAGTCTTGAACAGAAAGTGCCTCTCTCCAGGCCTCCCACCCCCGCTTCTACTCCCCAAGTGAAGACCAACCTTGGACAGCAGGCCCCACTTGGCCTCTTAGCATATTGTAAAGGACAGTGCCCTCTGTGGCTTGCCTGCACAGCCTTCCTTGGGGACACTGCATTCCTTAGAGGCCTGGCAACGGGCTGAGTCTCCTAGCAGCTGTCAGGTTTTCGTGCGGAGGGGTAGGGCAGCTCGAGGGCACAGAACCTGTCCTCCTTGAAAGTTGAGTGCAGGGTCTGCTGCATAGCACAGGGGACCTCAGCAAGTATTTGCTGACTGTGTGAACAAAGGGTTTCTGAAGTCCCTCTTGTGAGTGTCCCTGGGAAGGAGCCCACAAGAGCCCTCTGGTGCCGTGGGTGTGCGTGGGGTTGCTTATCATGTCAGCCAGCTTCTATCTGGCTGTGAGCAGGACCGTGCGAGGGTCGGGTACCTCAGAGATGGAGGAAGGAGCAAGGAAAAGCTTGCCCTGTGGGGCACTGGCTATGCAGGGCAGACCCTTGAGAACCCTGGAGAATGGAGCCCGGAACAGCACCAGCAGGAGATGTGTGCCTCAGGAAGGAAAAAGGGCTCACCAGGGAAGTCTCCAGACACACTGTGTCCTGCTCACACTTTGTCCAGCCCAAGCCTGGGCGAGGAGGGGTAGATCTCTTTTGGTGAGCTGGATGCCCAGTCTCCTCCTGGATTCAAGAAATGCCCTGGCAGAAGAGAAGGCACAGCCTGGAATATAGCTAATGACGAAGCTTCCCCCGGGAGCTCACTGCTGGGCAGCCATAACAGCCCTGTCCAGAAGGCCTGGCCAGCTACTGCTTACTGGCTCGGGAGTCTGACCTTTGGAGTCCAGGATGGGATAGCCACTCTGCTTTTTTTTTTTAGGTATCAGGTATCGAACTCAGGACCTTTCGCTTTCAAGGCAGGCACCAGAACCACTGAGCTAAATCCCTGGCCCTCTGCTTTTTTTTTTTGGGTACCGGGGATTGAACTCGGGTCCTTACTCTTTCGCATCACTCTGCTTTTTAATGTGCCTGCTCCACCATGGGCAGGGAGAGGCCTGCTCAGGCCAGTGGGCCCACTCCCCATGTAGCTGTGCCGTCAGTGCCTGCTGCCTTCTGATCTGAATGTTCCTCGCCTGCTCTGAAGACTTAGGTGACTGACTCCCATTGCCCATCCCTGTGAAGGCTGCCACCTGTGCCCCCTCTTCCCTTTGTAGCTTTATGTCTTAGCACTCTGCAGCGACGTCGTCTTCACAATAGTCCCATTTGACTCTTGGTTTGAAACAACACCCCACCTTGTGCCTTGGCTTCCTTGGCTCATGAGGACCCCCCATGAGGTTGACTTCTGCCTCTCTTTGATTCCTAGAGGGCCAGCCATATCCCACCCCTCTTAGAAACTTTCTGCGACCACCCCAATCAGAAGTACCATCTCCTTTGCCCTGAACTTGGGGCATGACCCCAGGCCAGCAGCATTCTGTGGTATTTCATAGCCAATGCTGACATTAGTATTTAGCTTTCCATGTATAATTCTTATTTCCATGCATTAGGTGATAAGTTTCTCTAAGGCTACATGTTTTTTTTGGTACTAGGGTTCAAACTCAGGACCTTTCCTTTGTGAGGCAGACACAATGCCACTGAGCTAAATCCTCAGCCCAGGCTACATGTTTTTTTAGGGCTCACATTCCTGGCACTTCTCTCAAAAGAGAGTTTTGAATGGTTTTTGGAATCCATAATAAACGTGGGTGGATTTCCTTGCCTGGGATACCTTCTGGGACTTTCACCAGGGTGACTATCATCGAGAATACACAAAGGAAGGAATTAACCAAGGAGTTCAGTGTTCTGCCTTTGTAAAACTTTGGTGGTGGAGGATGTAGAGGAGTCATAGTGAGCCGTGTGGCATTTCACTGGATAGGTATGCATATGGGAACCTGTAAACAAGTGGCTTCAGTCATGGGCAGATTCACTATGAAAATAAAAGCTTTAGTCTTTGAGCCAAGGGCATGCAGTCTGTCAGACCACAGTGAAACCTCCACTAGCCCAGAGGTGTCCCTCTTGATTAGTCAGCAGGCAGGAGCCAGAGTTAACATGGTAGGCGTTTTCTTCTAGTTTTACTTCCTTTGTTTTTGCCATTCCCAAAGACAGCTGCTTTTAGAGATACCTTCTGTGTGTGTGCATGTGTGTATGTGTGGATAGGCATGTAACTGAGTTCTCTCTCTGGTGATACGTGGAAAGGTAGTCATAGCCCTTTGCTCCTCATCCTCTATACAGTCTTTTGTAACTACAAGTCTTGGCTTACCAACTTTATCATAAGCTCCTCCGTGTCATATACTAACACTTTAGGCAGCCAAGAGTTGAACATTAAATAAATGGATCTTGTGTCAAATCAGGAGAAAGGAATGGAAATGCAAAATGTGCTTACAGCCATCAAGTGGCCCTGGAGCTCTTTGAAAGCAGCATTAGACTGAGACTCCCTGTGTTCTGTGCATACTGCATGTATGTTGCCATGCACCTCAGGGTGTATTTACCTGTAAAGAAAGCACAGATGTGAGTGTAAATCTTGGCTTACTGCTAACTAGCCTGCAGCCCTGGACTGTTGATTTTTCGACCTCACTCTTTGTCAAGAAATTGGGAATAATGTCCTTCTGGAATTGCGTGGAAAAATGCACATAAGGTTCTTGGCATAGGGCCTGGCTCAAAAAGTACACCGAGTTTTGATGGCCAGTATTACTGTTATTCCTAAGGCCCATATATAATGTTGGCATTAATTATAACTGTTACATTACCTGAAAATAGCAGCCAAGAGTTAACCTACTTTCTGTATTAGACACACTACAGAATACTCTGAATTTGTGATCCAGCCCTTAGCAAAAATATTCCAGGCTTTGCTGATCAGTGGATGCCACAATTTGGATTTTTGCTGTCAATGGTTTGTTCTTGGCATAGTAATCCATGGGTTCTACTGTTAATGCCCTTTGCATTTTATTTCTATATAAATTTTACATTAGTTCTCTGCTATAAAGCAAATTGTAAAAGAAGATGAACCACTTAAAATTTTTGATATACTTATTTTTTTGTTAGGCACGTGGAAAAAAGCGCCAAATAGGCTGGTTCCCAGCTAACTATGTCAAACTTCTAAGCCCTGGGACAAGCAAAATCACTCCAACAGAACTACCCAAGTCAGCAGCATTGCCAGCAGGTAAGGAGTGTGCAGTCTCCTTGGAAAATGATCTGCATGTTGCTGTAGCCTCTCCACTCAGTGGTCTCATTAAGTATCTAGATTGTTTTCCACATGTGCTTTAAGCACTTCTTGTACTTGCTGGAACTGACACCCAGCTAATGGATATGGACTATGTTTTTCAAAAGGACCAAATATCTAAGTAGCTTGACTGTGCTGGGTACAACAGAGCCCTTGTTGGAATTCTCCTCCTCAAGGAGTCATGAATGCCTTGGCCTTAAAGCCAGATTTTTCTCTTGATTTCCTTCCAGCCATTTAAATTGGGATTTGGGCTAACGGGTGAGGTGACAGAAAGGGGCTCCTAAAAATAAATGACAGGGGTCCACATAGGTCAGAAGATTGAGCTGGAGGCCGTGGGGGTCTGTTGGTTGTAATGTAGTGTCCACAAAAGACCAGAATAACTCCCTGGTGACATTTACTGTGAACAGAGGGTCTTCGCTGAGTAGGCAGGATGTTGTGCACCCTTACTTAGAGCCCTAAAAAAAGACAGTGCCCTGCTGTTGACCCGGTTGGCTATTTTCTGATCTAAGGGACTAAATTAGATGCTGCAGTAGTATTTGTGAGAGGGGAGGGGAGGAGAACAGATTTTTGCTTTGGGTCGTGAAGCCGCCAGTCCTTGGGTGGCATTTGTGAGAAGTAGGGAATTTTTTGTTTCATTACCTTGTGGTTAAATGTCTGGGCTATACATCTTCAGTGGAATCAGATTAAAACTTGGCAGCCTCTGCAAGAAATTAAAAGATTGGCAAACTTTGTGACTGAATCCTGACCCTAGCGGGGCCTCTTTGCTTAAGCAGAGGCCTCCTATAGGCAGAGGGATTCCAGCTGGATCTGCCGTGCCCTGGCAGATCTGGTGGTGGGCCCCTCCCCGCATTGTCAGCATGCAACTCCTTCACCAGGTTGGTTGGACCCCACTGAAACCATTTGCAGAAATGACTCAGCTGAAAGTTTGAAACTGAACCTATACATTGATCAGATTGATTGGATAAGAGACGGTGGCCTATGGTACAGACTTACCCAAAGTGAAGAGACACCAGAGAATGAGAATGATTTAACTTCCTTTGACAGAAAAGGACAAAAGTTAGTTGTTTTTTTTTGATACTGGGGATCGAACTCTGGACCTTGGGCTTGTGAGGCAGGCAGTGGAACCACTGAGCTAAATCCCCAGCCGAAAAGTTATCCTTGAATGCAAAAATTTCTTTGAAATGCAAAGGTGCGGCAGAATCTTTCTCTCCCGCCCTCCTCCCTCTCCTTCCCCTTATTGCCCTCCCCGACCCCTCCCCTACCCCTCCCCTCCTTCCGTTTTTCTCTCTCTCTCTTTCATTCCTTCTTTCTCTCTTGTTTCTTTCTTTCTTTCTTTCCTTCTTTCCTTCTTTCTTTCTTTCTTTCTTTCTTTCCTTCTTTCCTTCTTTCCTTCTTTCCTTCTTTCCTTCTTTCCTTCTTTCTTTC